GCCACCGCAAACCAGCTCTCCCGGGGTGGATTCCGGAGCTTGGCTCTGCGCTGCTGGTAAGCGCACACGCCTGCGCAGAGCTGCTGGGTTTTGTGCAGGGGGTGCCTCCCAAAGGGCTCGCCTAACTCAGGTGGCAAGAGGAGACACAGGGTTCCTACTCCTGCTTGGGAATGAGCCCACAGTGCTCTCCTCTCCACGCCGTGCTTTTTCAAACCCCCGGAGTTCAAATCTGTGCTCAATGGAACCTCCCCTTGGACAAAGGAGAAAAAATTGGGCAAAGGAGAGAAAATTCCAGTCCCTCTGCGTTCGGGATTGAACCCCGCCCTCCCAGAGATGTCCCTTCGCACTGGCTACAGGTGTGGTTGCCGTCGGGCTCCTGGCCAGGCAGGGCCCAGGTCAGTGCCTGTGGCCCCGGCTCAGGGAAACGAGGACGGACAAAGATCGGTGCGCTTACGCTGGTGCAACTTTTCAGTTTTGCTCACCTGCGTTCAGCGTTTGGCTTGTTGGAGTTGCAGGAGGCAAGGGGGCCATTGTTTTGAATAAAAATCGTCCTACTATGAGTAAATACTCCGGGCACTCACTGTGCAGGAGGCAAGGGGGCCATTGTTTTGAATAAAAATCGTCCTACTATGAGTAAATACTCCGGGCACTCACTGTGCAGGTAGCCTCTCCATGTAGCGCTACATAGAGGCCCCGGGGAGGGCGGCACAGCGGTACTCACACAGATGGCCTCAAACAGCTGGAAGACGATGTAAATGGGCATGACCTTGTTCACCAGGGCGATGACCTCCCTGCAGGGAAGCAGGGGCGAACCTTCAATGGGAGCACTGAGACAGGACTTATTCTGAGAGACCTCCCTCTCTTACACCTCCTCCCAACATGGTCACCCATCAAACCCAGCTCCCCTGGCCCGAGTCTCCGTGTCTGTGGGTCTCTGGGCAGGCAAGTGGCGGAGGCCAGGCCTGGGGAACGGGCCCAGGTGCTGGCGTCTCTCTGTGAGGGCCAAGCCAGGCCTAGCCCTGCTCCCTGTGGACCCAGGGCCAAGCCAGGCTTGTGGCAGCCCCCGTGACGTTCCCAGAGTCAGTGAAGAAAACCGATTACCTACTCATCATTGGTAAAGAGATAACCCAGGTTATTTTTCAGGAGGCTCAGCAGGGCGCCGATAACCAGCGAGGTGCCAACTGAAAGAGACGGAGGAAGAGCATTCGCTAAGCAGCCCATGGCGAGTCCAGCTGGTCCACACAGGTCAGCCCAGCCCCCCACCAGGGCCTCACGTCCTGCGTTAGAGCCAGTCACTGGGACTGGGACATTATTTTGCCGCCCTGTGGGAAGGACAACATAGAAAATGCCTTTCCCGTGGTTCTCCAAGTGGGGTTCCTGGGCCAGCAGCATCAGGATTGCCTGGTCACGTGCTGGAAATGCCGACTCTCAGACCCCCATCTCTATCCTGTGAGCCAGAATCTGCCTGGGGAGGCCGGGGCCTGTGCTGTGGGCTGCCTCTAGGGCAGTGGTCGGCAAACTGCGGCTCGGCAAACCGCGGCTCTAGGGGACCCAGAGCCACCTGAAGCCTGAGCATCCTGCTCTCCGCAGAGGAGTTGATCGGAACCTGTCGGCCCAGAGCCGAGCCCAGTGAGGACAGCAGGTTGGTTCCTTCTGAGGGGTGGCCTGGGCGGCCCCGGTCCTGGGGGTGCTGGAGGGCAAGCCTGCAGAGCTCCCTGGGCAGCCGGAGGGAAGCGCCTGGGAGGGTCACACTAGGGTGTGTGGTGACAAGCTGCCCCCAGAAGGCCTGGAGCCCAGCAGAGGGTGGGGCAGGAGCGCAGCAGGCTAGAGTGGGGGCTGAGGTACCATCCACGTATCAGCCAGGGCTGCCCTGGGCCCGACACAGGTGTAGCCGGTGGAATAGGCCTGGCCGCTCCATGGCAGCCCTGCCGCCAGCACCCAGGCCTCCCCGGCCCAGGCCCTTGACCCCCCAGCTTGCCAAGTCCCCTCCCCTTGGAGAGGACTCCCCCACCTGTGCAGAGCACGCCTGAGACGGCGGATCGCTGGGCTTGCACGGTGTCTGCAGCTCCCAGGGACGTCCCTACTCGGACGCAGACAGAGATGCTGAGCCCCATGGGAATCTGGGATCAAGATAAGAAGGTGCTGTCAGTGGAGCCAGCCTGGGTCCTGGCATGGGGTGGCTGCTGAGCCAGAAAGAGGCCGGGCTGGCTGTGAAGCAGCCCCCCAGCCCCCCAGCCCCCCAGCCCCGGCCGAGGAGGAGCAGGAGGGCTGGATGGATCCCAGGCAGCGTGAGAAGAGCTGCTGCAAACAGGCGGTGGCCTCTGATGCTGGGCCATGGGGTGGGGATAGTGAGCCAGCAATCGCCGCCCCATCCACCCCATCAAACGCCGCAGGCAGACGGCCTTGCGGTCAAACTCACTGTGTTCCCCAAACTCATGAGAAAGTGAATGTTTAAATGGCCCTAAGTTGCCAGGAAAGCTCCCTGGAGGAAAAAAATGTTTCTGTAAAAACCATCTGTAAAAATAAGAATCACCTCATAAGTTAGTTTTGTAAGTGTAGGTTTTTATGACCCTTTGCTAAGCCTGCGGTCACAGCCTGCATGCCCAGGAGCCTGGCGGGTTCGCACATGAGTGACAGGGATAGCCATGTCTCTAGACTCTAGAGAAAGGAGGGACCCTGTTGGAGAAGAGGATCCCCCGGGACTCTGTCACCCAGTTCTCGCTAAGGCAGCGGTTCTCAACCTGTGGGTCGCGACCCCTTTGGCAGTCGAACGACCCTTTCACAGGGGTCGCCTAAGACCATCCTGCATATCAGATATTTACATGACGATTCATAACAGTAGCAACATTACAGTTATGAAGTAGCAACGAAAATGATTTTATGGTTGGGTCACAACATGAGGAACTGTATTTAAAGGGCCAGAAGGTTGAGAGCCACTGCTCTAAAGGGTGCAGGGATATGGGCCCAATGCTAAATGGAAAATGCAGAAATCCAGATTATGGTGTAAAATCTCCTCATTTTAAAATGGTGTTAATTAGAAAAGAATTCTTCCAACACCAGGTGAGTTCAGTGTCAGCCCCGGGGTGGCTGGGGCTGTCTGTGTGTGAGTCTGGCAGGGCCAGGCCCTGATGGGCATGGGGAGCCCGGGAGGGCCCCTTGGAACAGAGTGACAGCCTGCTCCCTCCTGTGCCGCCCCAGGACAATGGGAGTGCTGGTCGGGCGGAGGGCACTCACCATGTAGGTGACGGTAGCCACCTCGTAGATGACGGCCTGGGCAGAGAGATCCACCATGCTCAGCAGGCCTGCAGAGGGGAGGGGGGATGAGCAGGCCTGCAGAGGGGAGGGGGGATGAGCAGGCCTGCAAAATGCGGGGGTGAGCAGGCCTGGGCCAGCCCGGAGGCCCTGGGCTGACCGGCACCCTCCGCTTTGGGGTAGGTGGTTTTGAAGGGCAAATTCACAACCAAACATGTCCTGCTGGGCCTCCAGCCTTCCAGGAAAGCCCTGCCCAGCCACGGAATTTCCTGCAGGCTGTTCCCAGGAGGGTTTGGCTTGCGAGCTGAACGCGAAGCATGTGGCCTGGTATGCAAAGACAACTGGGCCACAGCCTGCATGCCCAGGAGCCTGGCGGGTTCGCACATGAGTGACAGGACCAGGAACCCCAGCTGGGCCGCGGTGCGGCTCTGGACAGCGCTCTGTGCCGGGCCTGGCTTCCTGGCTGTCCGTGGGGGCAGGGCCTGGAAGGTCCTGGGCGAGTGCAGCCTGGCCCGGCTCTCAGGCAGTTTGGACTCTGTGCTGAGTGCTCAGGGGAGAGCCACGCCGCCAGGCCCACGCGCACTCGCGCACCATCCATTCCACCTCCCACTCGCTCGGCGACTCGCCATCTGCACTGGGTGCCCACTCGGTGCCAGGGCCGTGCTGGCATCTACCACAGAAGGCCAGGCCTGCCCCCAGGAGCTCACAGACTGAGGGGAGACAGTGTACCACCGACCTGGCCTGGGTGACGGGCCAGCTACCTGTCAGGGAGGGGCTTCTGAGCTGGGTGAGCCGCCCACGGGGTCCCCCACCCCACCCCTGCCCCCGCCCCGGCCCTTCCACGTACCCATGAGGAAGCTGCCGATCTCGTAGGCCCACCACTCCATGCATATCATGAGCATGCTGGGGAGGGCCAGCGAGAAGAAGGGGCCCCAGTCCTGCAGGCACTGCATGGGGGCGGGGGGCGGGGGGGACCCCGGGTGCGGGTGGGTGTCCGCTCCATCTGTGATACCACAGGATCTAGGGCAAGTGCCCTGCCCTTCTGGGCTCTGCCTGCTCATCTGGAGATTTCCGTCCTTATCTTCGCCCTGTTCCCCAGAAGGGTCAGGGGCGGGCGGCATGACTAAGGCCAAAGGATGAGCCCGAGGGCCGTGCGGACAGGGGAGGGGCCACCCTGGCCTGGATGAGGCCCGGGCCTGAGCTGGGCCTGAAATGCCTGGAGACGGACCACAGGCTGCCGTCAGGTGTCAGGAGGCAGAAAGGCTTGTAACTGGGAGCCTGGGAGCGGACATGGGTTCGAGGCCAGCCCCCACGTGCAGCGTCTTTGGCATTTTGGGGAAATCGCTGCCTCTCTGGGTCAGTTTCCTCCGTGTAAAGGGAATGGGAATAATAAGGTGCCTGTAGCCGGGTCAGGAGTGCCGGCCGCCGGCCTGACACCGAGGATTCTGCCTGTTACTATTACTCCTGAGTGAGATCCAGGGGCCAGTGGGAGGCTCCCTGTGCCTGACTCCTGCGGGGCTCTGCACCGTGGGGCATGGGGTAAGGGGACCCCAGGACTTCGGGGTGGGAGTCCTGAGGGGGAGAGCAAGGCCCTGAAGGGAAATAGAAGCAGGTCGGGGATGGGGCTCCCCCCCATGGGGCTCCAGCTGGCCCTCCACCCGCCGGGGGCCACACGGGCTGGAGCAGGCGGCCCACCTGCCCACGTCTCCCGATGCAGCTTCCTCAGCACGATGTAGAGCAGCAGGAAGACCGTCTGCGCGAACTGGGAGAGA